AGAAGTCTGAGAAGAGTTCACCATTGTCGTTCATTTCACCGAGGGCCTCACGACCCATGGTGAGTTCTCTTCCTGTGTTGTCTCGTCCCAGCTTCGCATTCATGTCGCCCATCAGGATTTTGATATCGCCATTTGGGACGTTGTCCATTATTGCTTGTAGTTGTCTGTAGAACGCCTCCTTCTTCTCTTGTTCTGAGACGTTTGGTTCCCACTGCATGGGAGCTTTGGCTGCTGTTGGTGACATCATGATGGCCACTCCCTCGGTGTGCTCATGGTTGTCCTCTAGGTGGCCGGAATAGATTACTGTCTCTCCAGTAGGTATTTGGCACCTTCCAGTTCCGTTCCATCTGCTCTCGCAGATTCCCAGCACTTCTATTCTGTACCTTCTCATTTCAGCGGCTATCTAAGCAGCCTTTCCAGTTTCGTACATTGTGCGAACATTCTAGGTACCCATCCTTACTTTTGCTGTCATTGAAAGAAGGCACATCGGCTGACTGGCTTCCCGAAGGCTTTCAACAGCCTGCGTCATTTCACTTCCCCGATTCCAGCGAAAAGTAAGGCTATTGCTTATTTTTTAAGAATTTTTAATATATTTATTCGTTGAAGTTACTGTAACTATTTGGTTGAGTTTTGCGGGAGTGGAGTTGCTAGCACCACCCTCCAACCATCCCTCTTTATCCGGGCTTGGGACCGGCGAGAAAACTAGTAAGCTAGTAGTCTAGCAAGCTAGTATCTGGCGAGGTTATTCTATTGTTTTAGAGCTGTTAAATACCTGCATAGAACAAAAAATGCATTATATTCAGTTTATAATTTGTTTTCCTCATTCGAAATTAACTCACACACACTGAGAAACTTTAAAACTTCCATAAAAGTGAGACACTTCACATATCGACTTTGCAACAAGAAAACCATTTAAGGAATAAAGTTAATAAGGTAAAGTAGAATGAAGTGTTATCTGAATGAGTCATGATACTTACACCTAATGTTGTCGTTATATATATATATATATCAACCGACTAACTGGTTCCAACATAGAACTTTGCACCGATGTGCAGCAGTACTTCGAGTTGCCACACTCCCTCCATGTAGCTCACAAAGGCACAGAAGAAAGTAAAAAGAAACGCTAAATAGGGGCAGTAAAGAGAGGTATGGGACAACAAGAATAGTAATAACGAAGAACAATATAGTTTCATTGGAATTCATAAGTCACAAAGAGTGGATGCATCTGCGCCATCCAGTCATTGAGAACGATTTTGAGCCATAGCACCGATTGTCTCCAGCCTTCATTGACTTTCACCGCCTCGAGGACCCCAACCAGTCAAGAAGTCTACACCCTCCTACGTGGCTGGCCGGCTAAAACTAATTGCTGTGGATTTCATTGACTAATGAAGCCATGTTTTGGTTTGAGGACCACCGCCTAACTCTTTTCCAACCTGATGCATCCTGTATCAGCTAACATTTCCAGTCGGTCGAGGAAGGCGATGTCTAGTCATGCATGCGTAACACTTGCCCCAACCATCTCAGCCGATGTAACTTCACAACCTCGTCGAGTGATTTCCCCTCCTGCTTACCTAGCACTTGACCGATGCCTAACCTCAATATTGCCCACCTTATTATAACACTTCTTTTTGACTTGGTTTTGTTCTCTGAGCTGGCTGGATGGTTGATTTGCGAAGCTTTCATCACTCTACTAGGTGACATATTCAGCGCATACTTCAATTTGAAGTGAGCTTTTAGATTTCTCCACGAGTTTATTAATCATCTCTCCTGGTGACCTTGGACGTAATCGGTTGTTTTTGTGTGTTTTCACACCTTCTAGCTTACTTTTATTGGAACTGATTATTTCTTTGGTTTGAACTTTGACCCCTTGTGTGTGAAGTTTCTTTCTTATCGCTTGATAAATTTTGTCCATTTCTTCGTGTCTATTGATTGATGATTCACTGGAATGCCAAGCTTCTAAAAATTCTGTAGCATTCTTGTTGTTTCCTCTGTCTAATATTTGAACGTTGGTTGGTTGTCCCAGTTGAATTGATGTCCGTGGTTGTCTCTATTTAGTGAAGCAATATGAGGGAGTGGATATTATGTCTTTTGACGGCTAGCTTGTGTTCGTGAATACGAAGACGAAGGGGACGTTCACTTTGATCAATGTAGTTCTTTTCGCAGTTGTTACAATTTATTTTGTAGATGACATTGGTTTTATCTTCGTTCGCTGTTGAGTCTTTTGGTTGAAATAGAATTGAGTGAAGTGACTTTGTTGGTTTGTGTACGACTTCAATTCCTAAAGGTTTGAAGAGTCTTGTAGTGATTTATGAGATATCCTTTATGTATGGTAAGGAGACTTTCTTTGTGCTTTTCTTGGAGGCTTTTGGTTATATAGGTTGGCTTGGGGGTATATGTCTTTTGATGAAGTTCCGTGGATATCCATTCTTTTGGAAGACGTTCATGAGATACTCTTCTTCAATTTGCCTTTAGAGGGAAGTGCTGCAATGATTCCTGGCCCTCTTGAATAGTGTTTGTATACAATTCCTTTTGTGTGTTATTGGATTGTTGCTGTTGTAATTCAGGATTTGATCTGTGTGAGTTGACCTTCTATAAACTTGAGTTTCTAGTTCCCCTGTGGTTGTTCGCTTGACTAAGACGTCCAAAAATGGTATTTTGTTCTCGGATTCTTCTTCGCTTGTGAACTTGATGTCGCTGAAGACGTTGTTTATTAAGTTGTGAGTTTTATCCAACTCATTTCTTTTGATTATTACAAATGTGTCGTCAACGTAGCGTATCCAAATCTTGGGTTTGATCTTTGGTAGAATTGTGTTTTCGAGTCTTTGCATCACTGCTTCTGCAATCAAACCTGATATTGGCGATCTATCCCATGGGTTTCTTTTAACTTGTTCATATATTTGGCAGTTGAATTGGAATCACGTTTTTAGGCATAGGTTTATGCATTCCATCCAGCTTGTGTGTTACATTTTCGACTGTTGTGGAAGTTGTTTGTCGTTGCTAAGTAATTTCTCCATTGTTTCTTTTTCTAGTTTTTGTCCGATTGTGGTATATAATGCTGTGACGTCGAAGGATACCACTATTTCTTGTTCATGTGCTTGGATGCCTCTGGTTTTCTTTAGAAATCGGATAGTAGAGTTAATGGAGTGATCACAAGATTCCATTATGTGTTTCAGTTTCCCGTATAATTCTCTGGATAAATTATATGTTGGAGTTCCTGGGAGTGATACAATTGGTCGTACAGGATATTTGGCTTGTGTGTTTTGGGTCTGCCGAAGAATCGGGATAGGACTGGTCCATTGGATTTCATTCACCATTGGTTTTGTTTTGTGATCTGTCCAGTTTTGATGACCATGTTTAAGGTCTTTTGAATGCGATTGTCCAAAGTTTGTATGGGATTTGTTGGGAGTTGGTAATATACATCCTCGTCTTTGAGTAGTTCTTCAGCTTTCTTGGTGAATTCTTCTCTGTTAATGACTACTGTTGTTCTTTCATTGTCAGCTGATAGGATGACGATGTCCTTCCTATTTTTCAGCTTTTTGAGGGCGTTTAGTTCTTGAGAGTTGAGTTGTGTGTTGTTTTTTTCTGTTTGACCATTGGTACAATTGTTTGGCGTATCTCTTCCTGTGTTTCTTGGTTCAAGTTTGATGATTTGAGTAATGATTCAAGGGCAGCGAAGAAGTCAGTTTTTGAAGCATCTCCGGTGTTGTAGTTTAATCCTTTTTGTAGTAGTTGTTGTTCCATTTTTGATAGTGGTTGTTTTGATAGGTTGACTACGCAGTCTATAGGCGTATTGTCTGGTTGTTGTTTTCTAATCTTGGCTAGCTTGGTTTTGAGGACTCTTCGTCTTTGTTCTCTGTGTTTTCTACTTGACAATGCGATTGCGGTGACCAGCGTATATACAGACAACCACGGACATCAATTCAACTGGGACAACCAACCAACGTTCAAATATTAGACAGAGGAAACAACAAGAATGCTACAGAATTTTTAGAAGCTTGGCATTCCAGTGAATCATCAATCAATAGACACGAAAAAATGGACAAAATTTATCAAGCGATAAGAAAGAAACTTCACACACAAGGGGTCAAAGTTCAAACCAAAGAAATAATCAGTTCCAATAAAAGTAAGCTAGAAGGTGTGAAAACACACAAAAACAACCGATTACGTCCAAGGTCACCAGGAGAGATGATTAATAAACTCGTGGAGAAATCTAAAAGCTCACTTCAAATTGAAGTATGCGCTGAATATGTCACCTAGTAGAGTGATGAAAGCTTCGCAAATCAACCATCCAGCCAGCTCAGAGAACAAAACCAAACCAAAATCATCCACCTGATCTACAAATCTTCTCTATCATATTATAACACTTTACATGGGAGATAGAACGCAGAAACCTATGATCAAAGACAGCTAGCTAGCTAAACTTATCATGTCTTCCACTCTCAGTGACCAGGTCTCGCAGCCAGCCATAAAGGAGGACGGAGCGGACTGCTGAGCAGAACATAAGTCCTTTGGTCGACAGCCAGTGGGAAATCACGTCTACTAAGCCAGAGAATTTGCGTGAACTGGCATATGCCAAACTAGCCTTCTGTATCCGCGCTCAGATGTTGTCAGACAATATATATATATATATATAAGCATTAATTTCCCACTGAGATTTAGCTCCTGTCAGAACGAGGATACCGTCTTGTCACGGTATATATATATCAAAAGTGTAACAATTATCATGGTCTATCAGCTTGGCTTGTAATCGGAAGGTCCCCGGTTCTGACTCCTGTGGTGGATGCGTGCTGTCGATGCATAGCAAACTAGGACGACAGAAACAGCTGTCCAGTACTCCCTGGTCTTCAATAGTTCTCTCTCTCTTTCTCTTTCCTTGATCAAACTTGAAAAGGAAATCAAATCCCTACAAAACAACTCATGAAAATTTTCATTTATTGTTTCCCCTTTATTTATTTCTTATAACCATTTATACTTTGCTTGATATTTTAAAAAAACACCAGATCACCAAACTAAATCATAAATACTTTCGTACACATTTGGAAGATGCTCTGTCACAAGGAAGACCATTATTGATTGAAGATGTTGGCGAAGATCTGGATCCATCCTTAGACGAAGTTTTAGAAAAAAACTTTCTAAAATCTGGCACTGGATTGAAGGTGAAAGTTGGTGATAAAGAAGTTGACCTGCTTAAAGGATTTACATTGTATATTACGACAAAACTGCCGAATCCACAATATCCACCGGAGATATCAGCACGTACTTCAATTATTGACTTTACAGTGACATCACAGGGTTTAGAAGACCAACTGTTGGCACGTGTTATTCAGACGGAAAAAGAGGTAGACTCGCTTTTTTTGAGGTTATTTTTTCAATTTGCTTCTTTCGATTTGAAAAATAAAGGAACCTTTCGTATCCATCCATAAACGGATCTGCCATGTCTGCGTCTGTCTGTCCGTCCCATACAATATACAAATAACACTTTCGTAGACATCAAGGGTGTTTTTAGTCAGGTGTTTTGTAAGTCACCAAAGCCTAAAAATTTATCTACCCTAAAGTACTTATTACTAATGTGCTTACAAGGAAGTTTATTTCTCTCGCTGGGCTGAGTAACCCAGTTGGGAATTTCGATAAAGAGCTGTTCCAAAAAGACTGAGAAGGGAAGACTGATGCGAACTCGACGTATCTGATTTATTGCAGGAAGAGTATGCTTACAAAAGTCGATACACATTAGAAAACTCATAAAATGGAATCTATTTTTTATTGAAAGCTCTTATTATATACAAATATACTACTGTGAACAAAGCAAGAATGACAAATGTACTAGGACGTTAATATGAGCTCATTTTTCTATTATTTTACTATTCTTTCCAACTGGGGTTACAATCTGAACAATCCAAAAAAGTAGAGATTACATTGAAGATTTAAATGTACTCTTTTTTTCACAATGACAAGTAACTGGTCGGAACTAAGAGTAAGCAAGAGAATTCCTGAGTGGTGTAATTGGTTAAATAATTAAGAAGTGAAAGGGTTTTGCAGTTTACAGGGTGATTTGTCAAATAGGCTTGCAAGCAGAAAGATAGAGTAGAAACAAAGTTTAACTAGAAAGAGTACAAGCATAAAATAGGTTACGTATATTTTTTTTTATTTTTTTTATAAAATAGCGAAAAAAAGAGGGTGGTAGGTTGAGTTGCGTTTAGACGAAAGATAAAGTTTTCTAAACAGGACAGAAGATGACGTTTTCAACAAGGTAGTGCGAGGTTTACCAGTGTCTGTTTCTGTGAAAATATATTTGACTGTAATCGTTTGATGGCAGTTGTCTCAACAAAACATTGCAAGCTAGGTTTATTTTGCCTACTGATTATATTTTGAACACCTTTAGATTGGCCAGTGTCCAATAGACGGCATGCATGCAGTAGCACCGTTTAATGCCTGTGAGCCCCTTAGTTTCAATTTCTTTGGTATGTGGTCAGGAATGCTGACAATTAACCCTCCCCTCTGTTCTTCCAATGTATGTGCTCTGGCACGTACATACAAACTGTGTAGAAATTTATATTCTCACAACATAATCAGATGATGAGAACTTCAAGAGCAGAAAATAAAAAAGCACAATTTTTCGTTGAGGGGAAGACTAAGAAGTCATATTGGTATAAGAGGTTCAATAAAAAATGGAGGGAGAATTAGGACCTCAGACAAGACGTGTGCATAGTTGTACACTATGATATTCAGGAGAGAATTTATTTGTTCTTATTTTATTCTTCTGTGTTCTGAGTGGAACACAGGTCCACAAGCTGCCAGCCTCACGCTTAACTTCCTCTCTTCACTAGGTTTACTACCACCCAGTAAGCGAGGTTAAGGAGATCACTGGCTAAGGATGGAACCCAGGACCACGTGTGTAGGTGGCAAGCATTCTACCGGCGAACCACTAACGCACCACACAATTGCACACCCATTGATTGGGCAATTATGCATTGGTTTTAATCAGGGGGAACCGAACACACTCTAACCCAGACTCTTGCGAAACCAGAACATCGTGTAGCATCATTCTGCGACGGAACCACTAGACAACTCTCTCCTCCAGTGAACCAACGCAGAAGGGAAACCCTTTATTATTTGATAAAGCATGAAATGCTTAAGTTGGTAAATAACTAACAAATTGTGTACAATCTATGTGTTTACAATACATAGACAGGTAACATAAAACCTGGCATCGATGATCAAGTGTTCAACCAGTCACACGTCAATCGACCCATCAGCGGGTTGAGAGGTGGAAGTCAGTTAGTCAAAGGTTGTAAAGTTTTGCAAGGTAGAGCGGGGAAAAAAATAAATCAGATGAAGTAACAACATTTAGCACTTAGTCTGCAGAATATTAATATATAAATATGTTCATTAACAATCTATTCTGAGTCATATTGTAACAACAGAAGACAAGGGCCAGGAAACAGATCGTTTACTAATGAAATCAACACATATTTATAGATTTTCATGTAGATACATTATAATAGCTTATTGTTAGCAAAAAAACACCGAAGTCTTCTGATTGGTGGTTGTTTCTCACAGAAAGTTAACCTTGTATCTTTTTGTGACTGTTTCTTGAATGTCAGATCATCATCTATATGTTAACTGTATCCGCCTACTCAAAGCCTTTGTTCTCATTTTTCTCACGACCAATATTGGGGACATAAACATTGACGTGAATTACTGTCCACCAATTTTGGCTAACAGCCAGCTCTCACCACAATATAATCCACATTTACTGGTCATATATTTCCACAGTTTCTAAGATGCACCACAAATAGGTAGTGTATTCATGCAGTGGTGACATGTTTTTGCTCTTTCCCAATCTAACCTACAGCTTATGTTAAGTCAGACAATAAGAAGATATGCTCAAAAAGCATGTTCCATAACATTACATGTTTTGGCAGTTTAAATTACTTTTCTATAGTTTGGTTTGTACGGTTTAGTTATGTTTTTACGAGTTGATCATGGATTGATGTCAATCAGTTAGAGAACCATTGAAAACTAGCCACAGGGAGTACTGGACAGCTGCTGTTTCATCCTAGTTTTAGGAACCATCGGCAGTACGCACCCACTGGGATTCGAACCCAAGACTTTCCGGTTACAAGGCTAGCCTGCTCGTATACCATTCAGCCACTGGGACCCGATTCAATGGTTCGTGAATTCTAACTTCTACCAATTCGTGATTTAGCGCGACCCCAACTAATGTCGTTGGTGATACACCCATTCTCATACGTGACATCTGGTTGAACCTCATTGTTAGAAGTTAGAAGTCATGAGCCATTGAATCGAGTCCCAATGGCTGAATGGTATACGAGCTTGCCTTTTAACCGGAAGGTCCTGCGTTCAAACCCCTGTGGTGGGTGCGTACTGCTGATGATTCCCAAACTAGGCTGATGAAAAAGCTGTTCAGTACTCCCAGCTGGCTTTTCAACTGATATCAACCCCTGATCAACTCGTAAAAAGTTTAAATTACCTCAAAACGACTTTCAACTGTTCTCTATTTTGCACTTTATTTTTATATGAGTAAACAGTACACATCAGCATGTGGTATTTTTAACTGAGTAGATAGATGTATTTTAGTGTGGAATAACTTTCTCTGTCCATATAATTTTCCTTAGGCTTACCTTAGACTAGAGTCAGTGTGTATTTTTTTTCCTTTCACTGTTTTGTTTTTCAACTGTTTTTTTTGCACAGGAATTGGAAGCTCAGAGAGTTCAGTTAATCGAAAATACGACTGCCAATCGCAGAAGAATATTAGAACTTGAAAACAGTTTACTTCAACGATTAGCCAATACACAAGGTTCTTTAGTTGATGATCAAGGTCTTGTTGACGTATTACAGGTCACTAAGACAACATCACTTGAAGTTGCTCAACAAATCGCTTTAGCCCAAGACACTGAAGCTGAAATCACCTCAGCTAGAGAAGAATTCCGTCCTGTTGCTGCACGCGGTTCTTTATTATACTTTTTACTTAGTGAATTGGCTGGTGTAAATCCAATGTATCAGACTGGTTTGCCAAGATTTCTTAAACTTTTTGACAAATCTATGGCTTTCTCTGAACCGTGTCCTGTGACATCAAGACGTGTGGCTAATATTATCAACTATATGACACGTTCAGTCTGGGCATTTTCTGTACGTGGTATGTTTAAAATGGACCGGCAGATGACCACACTTATGCTGGCTCTACGCATTGATTTACAAAGAAAAAATATTCGTCAAGAAGAGTTTGTGACATTTATTCAGGTAGGACTGCTCTCCCACTCTCTCTCTATCTCTTCTACTCAGCAAATAAAAACGCATTTCCACAAAGCTAATCAGGCGGTTTGCTTTTGCGGTATATACTTCTGCCTACTTATTAGGTTCATTTCAGTAATATGTATGAATTTACATAGAAAAACTTGACGGCTTGTAACGATTTATTCTGAAAATGTGTTTAGGCTGTTTCAAAACATGAAAAATTATCTATCCTCCTTAACTGGAGTTCAAAATTAGTCTTTTAGTTCTAATAACACCAAATTTGAATAAAGCAAGAACAACAGTGGTTTGTGAAGAATAATAAAACGGTACTATCATTTAATTTAATTTTAGATTTTCCCGTCGATTGATTGGACCGAAGTGCTCGGTCTCATGTTGACATGTCGGCTTCTTATGCAGATGTTTTGACGATGTCTGTGCATTTAATCAAAATTTAACTGGTAGGTGGTTACTAGCAGTGGAATCCAGTCCAGGATAACGCGCATTTCGTCCTATTTGGGAATCGTCAGCTACTGGATGTACCTGCATTTCCCAGTGAGTGATAGTGTTCCCACTGAGGCTCGAACCCAGTGCCCATAGTTTCAAACGCAAGAGCGTTATCCACTATACCGCTTGGGCCAGTAGAGCCACCTATTGTGCAAAGGGTTATATTGATTTAATTAAATTTTAGATTTTCCCGTCGGTAATACACTGGTGCCATCATTGATTATTTCGTTTGCTTCTCATCAGCTCAGCTATGCACAGACTAAAGATATTATTAAGTTTATTTACGGATACAGTTTTAACATACTTACTCAGAGAATTCACTTTTAAACAAAAAATGAATATATGCGTACAATGGTATTAATAATAATAATAATTTTATCCCGAATAATAATAATCATACACAGTGGAATCCTGCAGCGTTAGGTAATCATCAGATGGAAGAGAGGATGAAGACATCCGTTTACCAGGGCAAGAGAAGACTGATAACTGTTTCTTTTTGAACTCATAAAGTGGGTTCCAAGAGTTTGATAGAGATTACTTCGGCATACCTGAGGAGGACTGAACTCTTTCAACTATTGATAATTTGGAACGAGCTTGCGACGACCACCTCACGGCCCGTATTAAGGAGATGCCTGGCAATCACACTCTTGAAAGCATTTGCACCCTTGAGACGTAGGCTCTTTGGTACATGTTCAGAAAATTGAAGGTATGCCTTTCATCTTTCTGTTCGTCCAATGTAACTGCTACAACAGCCACATGTAAATTTGTATAGACAGTTGGAGTTGTTAACGTGAGAAGTGGGTATCTGCCAACTCTTGACTGCACCAAAGAGTATGTTGTATGATAAACAGGAAACAAGCCAAGTAATCCACGGCGAGAAACTTACGAAATCCTTCAAAGTGAGGACGGGAGTAAGGCAAGGCTGCCTGATTTCAGAAGATTGGATAATGCGACAGACAACGGGCAATGGGGAATCAGGCATAAAATGGACTCACACAAAAAACTTGCAGGATCGGCGTCTGCATTTCGCCGATGACATATGTCTGATTTCCCACAAACTGGAAGATATGCAAGGGAAAAGCAACGAGTTGGCAGAAGAAGCATTCACAGAAGATAGGACTTCACGTGAACATAGAGAAAACAGCTGTGGTGATGAAGATTCCTGGCTAGCAGCAACAAAAATAGCCACAACAACAACAAAACACAATAGTCAGCCAGCATAAATAGGAGAAATGTGAAAAAAACCTCCTTTATCTACCGACCTACCCACCTACCTACCTACCTACCTACTTACCCACCTACCTACCTACCTACCTACCAAACTGGGAAGCATTGTTTCAAATACAGGCGGGAGGAACTGACGAGGATATCGAAGCAGCGAGGATCGGGAAAGCAAGACAAGCTTTCATTACTCTCAACTCTACGTAGAGGAGATCAACAACACTCAGCATGCAAATGGAAATAAGATCCGGATCTTCAACTCCAATGTGAAGACAGTCAGTGCTACTTGCCATACGGATCAGAGACTTGACCAGCGCGTCATAAAGAGCACCTCAAACACACTACAGACCTTCATCAACAGCTATTTATCTTCGCACAATGCTAGTCAAGATCAGATGGCCGGCCAGAAAAGGTAAGCAACAGGGAGGGATCTCTGGCAATGAGCAAACCAACTCAGCAGGAACCGATTGTGCAATAAATAGGCAGGAAGAAATGGAGGTGGATTGGCTGACCATACTCTGAGGGAACCATCAAATGAGTGACATCACAAGACAAGCCATTGTTCGAGTGGAACGCGAGCTGGAAGCGGCGAGTTGGTTGTCAGTGCGAGGGTAGGATGACATGGAGGAGGTGATGTGAAGAGGAGATGAAAGCATGTGGGCAGACTTGGAGCCAGGTGAGAAGTCTAGCAGAGAACCGAACGGAATGGAGGCGTTCGACTGAAGCCCTATATTCCTCTAGGAATTAAAGGAAATTATATATATATATATATATATATATATATATATTTAATTCTCCGGTATGTAACGTATAACATGCATCTTATTCAGTCAATCCCTATAACAATTATGGGCTTGATTTTATCACTGTTTAGTATGTAATTATTCCTGAAGTATGTGACTGGTTAAAGTATCTAGGTAGATTGTAAGAAAGGAGTAGCATTTTGCGCAGGAAGTTTATCACTGAAATGCACGAACAGTGTATATTTCACTATTTCATTTTATATCCTTTTTTTCTTTATCACTTGCAAAGGGTGGTTCAGCACTAGACCTGAAAATGGCGCCACCGAAACCAGGAAGATGGATAACCGACATGACTTGGCTTAATTTAGTCGCATTATCTAAGCTAAACGAATTTACAAATATTATATCACAAGTAAGCGGTTCTGAAAGACAATGGCGTCAGTGGTTTGATAAAGAAGCGCCTGAAGAAGAAGTTATCCCATGTGGTTATGATAATACACTGGATGTTTTTCGTCGCTTATTGTTAATTCGCTCATGGTGTCCTGATCGTGCATTACAACAAGCCCGAAAGTATATTATGCATAATTTGGGACAAGCGTTTTGTGAAGAAGTTGTCACCAATTTAGATGTGTGAGTTATCTCTGTGCAATCTTTGTAGTTTGATTTCTGTTCAACGTAAGACGGATGATGAAATTGCACTAATTTTCCTCGACACTAGCTAGCTTTGTGTGATTACTAATTAACATAGCGCCAAAGTTAGATAATTCCCCTGTCTCAACTAAAAGGCGAGCAATACTCACAATTTGATTATTGGCATTTCATTCACTTCAATATTCACGTCTGCATTTCAGAGATACGGCACTCAAAAATCTTTTTGGGGGGTCTCTTTAGAAAATTTTTTAGTGACTACAGTAAAGTGGCACAGCGGTTAGGACGCTTACCAACCTTGAATATCATCTGAGGTTAGATCCCTAGCCGATGCACACCTGATATCAATGGTTGGCCTATATTTAGGCTACCGATTTCACATGCTGAAAACTCCATAGTGTTGTGCCAAAAATGCTGCTTTTCGTCGTTTCAAGTTATGGGTACTGGGTGTGAGTATCAAGGGGAAACAAAGCATTCACCCAGTGGCACAAAAATCAAGCTGATGAGTCCCAAACAGGAAGAAGTGCAGACTGTGAACTGTACTGCTGCAGACCACCACTTTGAGTTCTTAATTCCGTTAATATCGAGGTATGTATTTTCAAGGAACCCTTATACGAAAATGGAGATGGTCAGTGGAGTCAGATATGCTGACAGAAAACCACTGAAATCGCCATACCCTGTCTTTGTAGACTTTCTAATAACCCTTTTCTTAGCCTAAAGAACCTTAAGTCTCAGTGGTGTATTGAAATATAAGACTTAGGGGAAAATCCTGTAATTCATTATACAAACTGCTAACACCAGTTTCTGGGTTTTTTGAAAGAGAAGAAAGAAATACATGTCAGTCAACAAAATTCTTTTTTCATTTAGCCATTTTCGAAAGCTGTGTATAAATGTTACAGGATTCCATCATGAACCGACATTGGTTAGAGAACCATTGGAAAACCTGCAGGGAGTACTGGACAGCTGTTTCCTCCTAGTTTGGGACCGGGTATCCAGCAGTACGCACCCACCACAGGGGTTTCGAACCCACGACCTTCTGGTTACAAGGCGATTTAACTCGTAGACCATTAAGACCATTACGACATAGCGCGACCGCTAGCCAATGTCTTTGGCAAGTATTTGTTCTCACACCCAACCTGGATAGCGGTCGCGCTATGTCGGGAATTGGCAGAAGTTAGAATTCGTGGACCATTGGATCGGGTCCCAGTGGCTTAATGGTGTGCGAGCTCGCCTTGTAACCAGAAGGTCGTGGGTTCAAACCCCAATGGTGTGGGTGCGTTCTGCTGAATAGCCGGTCCCAAACTAGGACGAAACAGCTGTCCAGTACTCCCTGCAGGTTTTCCAATGGTTCTCTTACCAATGTCAGCTCATGATGAAATCCAGTAACCAATCAGTCAAATCCGTACAAACCAACACTTAAATATGTATATAAATGTGTTTGTATATCTAACAGAAAGTAAATCAAAAGTAACAGGTTAATGGTTAATAGATAAAGACGTAACGACTTTAACCGATCAAAAGTATGAAAATTACAAGGCTTCAAAAAACAACAGTTAGTTGTTAGTCTACCTGGGTACGATCCCTGATTGAGATCATGAGTGGGCATTGTTGAGGAGTCCTAGACTGGTGTGCAAAACCAGTGTCCAGTGCCTCTTGATTTCTTTGCTTACAGCGATTCTCCTAACTGTTGTCTGTTCGTGACAAAATCCACATTGCAGTGAGGCGAAAATACCTACGAGCCACTCATTTGGAGTATTCATGTGTTTGTATGTTGTCAGGAAGTGGAGTTTTCACTTTTTAAGTTTTTCTAATCAACTTTATTATCGCATAAAGGTATTTTAATTACATTATAAATGAATATAATGTCATACTAGGTCAAATACTAAGTTTATTTATTATTTTTCTGTTTCAGCATTTACGGAGAATCTGACTGCCGAACACCTTTGGTCGGCTTGCTTAGCATGGGTGCTGATCCCACCCCACTTATTGAACAAGCTGCACGACGTGCAAAGATTGAAATTAATGCAGTTTCCATGGGCCAAGGTCAGGAAATACATGCCAGAAGATTGATAAAGCAGGCTATGGCCGAAGGAAGTTGGGTTCTGTTGCAAAATTGTCATCTGTGTTTGAATTATATCGACGAGTTATTCCTTCTTCTGTCTGGTGAAGGCTCAGGAGGCGTTAGTGGCGGTAGTGGTGGTGGAAGCGGTGGAGGGCCAAGTGGTCAAGCTGCAGCAACTGGTGGAGAAACAGCTGAGGGTGCTGGTGCAGGTAATGCGCCAACAACCGGAGGCACTGGAGCTGCAGGTGGAGAAGGTCAAGGAACTGGTACACCTGGAGGCTTCCATGATAAGTTTCGCCTTTGGGTAACCACAGAAGAACATAAAAGATTTTCCATAAACTTTCTTCAAGCGGCTATAAAGTTTACAAATGAACCACCCGAAGGTATAAAAGCGAATTTATGGCGAACTTACGCGGATGTTACTCAGGATTTCTTAGACACATGCGTAACATTCCATTGGAAAGTAATGCTGTATGCATTAGCCTACCTGCATTGTACAGCACAAGAAAGACGAAAATTTGGTCCATTGGGTTGGAGCATCCCCTATGAGTTTAATCAGTCTGATTTCAATGCAAGTGTTCAGTTTATACAGAATCATTTGGACAGTATAGAGTTCAAAAAAGCGCAGAAAATAAGTGTAAGTTCTAATAGTAAAGTTTTCCACAGATGTTTTCAGAGTTTATATACGTTTTTGGCATATTTTATAAGTAAACATAACAAATAAAGCTCAAGGTAGTGGAAAATGAAGGGGAACAGATGCTCACCTGAAATATTTTTTTTAGTGTTTGTATACACCTGTAACAGTTGTCCCATTCTAAAAAAAAATCGTCTACTTCCCCCCTTGCACAGCCGATTAAGTTCACAGGGCTTCTTCATGTCAAAACCTACTGCATTCTAGTATTTTATTTTATTATTGTGAAAGGCGAAGTTATGTTTCTCTAGATACCCGTCAAAAATCGTGCATTGACCAGTTCCAGAAACCTAAAATAGTCACCATATCAACTTAGAAGCAAAATAAAAGTAATTTCGAAACTAGTAATGATAACATAAATAAGAGAGAGAATATTAGTCATCCACTGGTATGTCATATGAGGAGGGGACATCTGAAATCCAACGTAGGTAGGTTAAAGGACCTTGTCGGTTAACTCAATTAGATAAAATAATATCATTTACAAAGTACCCTGCAATGACTGTGAGGTCAACTACTTAGGTGAAACTAGTAGGTTGGGGGTAATCAGATTTTCGCGACATAAGAATTTAGCTGAGGGAAGAACGGTTCACCCCGCAAAGATAAGTAATTTAGAAAAAATCTCAGCTGTTGCAATGCATGGATTAACACACAACCACACAATAGAATGGGAGAGGGTTAAAAACCTAACAATTAATATATGTAGTTGCAGAGAGAGATTGATTACTGAATCCCGCTTTGTTCCTCGAGTCTGCACTCAACACATGCAACAGAAATGACTCAATGCAAATACCAGAAATATGGAAGATATTATTACCATTAGTCAAATCAGAGGAGGATAATAAATAACCTCAAAATTCCATTTCAATTCAATTCACGTACATAATCACAACATTCTAACAAGTTACTTATTTCGACTGTAAAAACACTCGTCTTATTTCCCATCTTATTATTGTATTAGATTGATAACACTCATTATTGTTTCTGAATGAATCGTATATTACTGATTTGTATTCAAATGTCTAATCATCAATTCCACTCATGTATATAAATGAAAAAAAGTTGTGTGAGTGAGTGACTTGATATGATTATGAGTGGGAATATTTTGTGCTCGAAACGTAATCATCAGTTAATATTACTGTGTTACTTATCGAAATAAAATCTTATCCATAATGAAGTTACACTCTAGCACACTGCCCAAGTTTTATACTTATATCAACTTGGAATCACCTCCATCCTCTCTGTTTATATGATGTCATTCAGTAGATGGAATCTATGATTCGCATTTCGTCCTACCTTGGATCCGTCACCTGGATGTATATGCGTCCTCCAGTAAGTGGTGATGTTGTTCTCACTAGGTCTCGAACCCAGTACCCATCGTTTCAAATCCCAAAGGGTTGTCCGCTAGACCACTTCGGCTACAAGAGCCACCTCTTGCGCAACGGGCATTAGTTATTATTCGTTTAAATCAATTTTTGACTTTTCCGTTGGTTTATTTGACTGAAATATTCAGTGTCTGTTGACATTTCACTGCTTAGTACAGGCGCTTCGACGCTGTCCGAGAATTCACTTGAATTAATTTGATAGATGGTGACTAGCAGTGGAATCGAGGACACATGACACTTTCATTGGTAGCTGGATATTGCATTTTACTATATACCTAGTCTAAGCGTCTTAGCTCATGTCGGATTCTATTATCGGGCGAGGATGTCAAATCGAGCAAGAATCGGGTGGTGGGCGAGAAACACATTCACTCATCAACCTGAAACAACCAATTTGGAAATCTTCGTCACTCAGCCAGTATCAACAACAAAATTCCGTCGGTAGGATTTTCAATACAAACAATGTCAAGTCAGTCAGTTCTTGTATACGACGCAGAAAGTTGGCGGGTGGGTCACAAAGAATATTTCCACCAACAGCCTGTTGCAGACGTTACCTTTATCAACAACTAACTGTCTTCGCTGGATCTATACTGAAGATTAGATGGTCGGGCCGGGCCGGAAAGAATCACCAACAAGCACCAAACTATGGGAACAAACAAATCAATAACCAATCGCCAACCAGCAGCAAATATGCAGGAGAATGTGGAGATGGATTGGACAGTCGCTCGCTGAGGAGGAGGCCGCTGGAAGACATCGCGCGCACGTCCGGCCATTGCTCGAGTGAAACCCGAAAGGGGAGCGGCGAGTTGTTTGTGAGTGCAAGGGTGACACGGAGGGGATCGTGTGAAGAGGAGTTGAAACAGTATGGAGTGACATGGATGCAGGTAAAAAGTAGAGCAGATGACAGAAGCAAGTGGAAACGTACAGTTGAATCCCTATGTTCCACTAGGAACTCAAGGGAACAATAATAATAATAAAATCTCATAAGGTATGTTGTGTTTCTTGCTTTTCGTGAGATTAGCAAGATAACCTAACTTGACTGTTTAGCTTTCTATCCTAATATTATATTTAGCACTCCTTCTTTGCATACTTTTGCTCATCTTAATTATCATAATTAAAGAAGTATTATTAATTTCTTTTTAAACGTAATTTTATTATCTTTCCAGGGAATTGACTGGAAGTGTGTTCGTTATATGATTGGTGAAATACAGTACGGTGGTCGAGTTACAGATGACTTTGACCTGCGTCTATTGATTACGCTGACACGCACCTATTTTCAAGAACGCATGTTCTCTCCAGAATTCGAGCTAACGGCCAATTATCCTATCCCACGATTTGCTACACCCAGTGAATACCTATACTATATAACCAATGATTTGCCACAAAGAGACAGTCCAGAAGCTTTAGGTCTACATCCGAACGCTGAAATCACTTACTCCTCACAGACAACAAGTTATATACTATCGACTATTCTATCTATCCAACCGAAAGAAGCATCAAGCGACTCCAGTGATACAGACAGTGGCACAGGTGGGAAATCAGTTGCCGCCGTTGTCGAGACACGTGAGGCAGTTGTTCACCGACTGTGTACAGATATGCTGACAAAGCTGCCACCACCATATGTGAAATTTCGTGTAGCTGAACAAATCGAAGCATTAGGTTCGCTGAAACCAATGACAATATTTTTAAGACAAGAAGTTGATCGAATTAATAAAGTGATTTTATTAGTTGGAAGTATATTAACTGATTTGAAATTGGCTATTGACGGAACTGTTGTTATGAATGATACACTGAAAGATGCTTTGGACTGTATTTTTGATGCACGTGTACCGAATGTATGGACTCGGGTAGGTTTCATATATATTAATGCCTACCAATGCATACTGCTCAGACTGTTTTGTGGGTGTTAGAATTCAGTAAGATTAAAAACTATTGGTAACCATTTACAGTTTGGCGTCGGTGGTATAGCGGTTAAGACGCTCGCAGACCATGCGTACGGCCCGCGGTTCGATCCCCGGCCGATGCACTCCTTTACTTCGCCAAGCCAGAAATAATGGTGATAAAGAGGAAAGGTTGGGCATGAGGCTAGCAACCGCATCCTGGAAAAATAAACACTATCGCTACAGAAACTTCAAGCCACTAGCTTGAAGCCCTATGTTCCAATGGGGAACGTGAAGGAAAGAAAACCAGTTACATTAGTAATGTGTTATTATTGTGAAGTGAATTTTAGTCAACAGGTAACTGAGTGATGAGTGGGGTATTTTTCGTCACTGGTTGTCATCATTTAGTACTTATTAGTTTGTTAATTAACGAGAAATGATACAAAATACTATATCTGGGGTTTTATTTCCCGGTTGAAAAGAAGGGCCAACCTAGAGAATAGCGACTACTAATGACCTTGAACACATATCAATCATTGGATTACACAGTCTGCTCCAGTATGAATTCTGTGCATAAATCCAGGTGCAAATTTCATCCTGACCTCGTTTTTAAGTACTGTTTAGACAATGGGGTTGATAGCATATTAGGATTAGGATAGGTATTAGGGGTAGGGTTTTGGTTAGGTTTAGGGTTAGGCTTTTCCAATGTCTAATGTCACGCGAGCTCAAAGACTTGCAAACGAAAACGAAAAAATACTGGCTGAAGAAGCTTGCAGCGAATACAGGGCTCAAAGTGAGCTTAAAGAGGATGCAGATGATGAAGATATTGAACCGACATCAACAACAAAAACAACCAGCACCAATCAGCGTCAACCGGAGAGATTTGACAGAGGTTACTTCCTGCCTTCACTTATTTAGGAACCACTGTTTCAATCACAGGCAGTCGGAACGGATGAAGATGTAAAAGCTAGCCAGGCACAATCGGAAATGCGAAATACGCAAGCCTTCATCAACCTGAAACCAGTTTGGAAATCTTCTGCACTCAACATAAGGAACAAGTTTCGCATTTTTGGCACCAATGTGAAGTCGGTCCTTCTATACGGGTCAGAAAATTGGCCAGTGTGTCACAAAAAGATTTACAACAACCAGTTGCAGACTTTCATCAATAGCTGCTGCCTTCGCCGACTGGCTCCATACTGAAGATCAAATGGCAACAAGAAACTATGAGAACAAACCGACAAGCAAGAATCGACCGCTCAACAAATATGTAGGAGAAAATGGAGGTGGATTGACTTGGTATCCATTGAGGAGGCCATCTAATGACACTGCATGCCAGGCACTAGAGTGGAATCCCGTTGGGAAGCGACGAGTGGGTCATCGATGCGGCGGTAACATGGAGGAGACTGTGTGAGGAAGAGATGAGAGAGTTTGGTCAATTGTGGATGGTAGAAAACAGAACAAAGTGGAGATGTGTAGTCTAAGCCCTATGTTCCACTCGGAACGCAAGTAATTAATAATTAGGGTTAGGGTAGGGATTAGGGCTAAAGAAATTGTTAGGGTTAGGATGTTTCATTATTGTCTGTACTTTTCTTGTAAATAACTATATATATATATGCGAGGAGAATATTTCATTGTTTATATAGATGAAACTCTTTCGACAGCTATGCAGCTTGAAAACTGATATCCATCATTGTAACTGGATGGGAACTACTTTTTTCAGTTGCGTCAGGGTAAAGTATCGTCTTTTGTGTGCTTCCCCATTATCACATTACTTTTTCCTGTACATAAATGGCTGTTTGATGTAGAATACGAGGCAGGATATGTAATCCAACGAACCGTATTACTTCAGTGCCACTGATGCCTTTTTTACTCCATGGCATTATTCTTTATGCTTACCAAAACAAAAACAAACACTATAGAAGTGATTGAGAATTTAATGTTATACTCTACTCTCGGCCATGGACTGAAATCGGCGACAGAAACACTATATAAAAGGAGCACGTGAGAGCTGTTTTTTGGACCGCTGTAAATTGTATATCCGTTTATCGGTCACCTTCTGAAGTCCATACCATTTGTTTTGTGTAAATTTGCAAATGACCGAGTGACTGAAGGGAAAACCCTAGAATTTGCTGCCTTTCACAATGCCGCACAAAAAAGTGTAAGAAAGAAATGTAAAGAAACTACATTAGTGATGAAGAAATGCATCTGTTTTTATTACTGCTTTGGTAGTCGATAACTCATAGAACGAACTGGTCAAACAGTTTACATAAAGAGTGAACTGTTTGTCGTTAGTGTATTTCTATTATCATTATTATTTCCTTTAAACACTAGAGGAATATAGGGCTTCAGTCGAACGCCTCCATTCCGTTCGGTTCTCTGCTAGACTTCTCACCTGGCTCCAAGTCTGCCCACATGCTTTCATCTCCTCTTCACATCACCTCCTCCATGTCATCCTACCCTCGCACTGACAACCAGCTCGCCGCTTCCAGCTCTCGTTCCACTCGAACAATGGCTTGTCTTGTGATGTCACTCATTTGATGGTTCCCTCAGAGTATGGTCAGCCAATCCACCTCCATTTCTTCCTGCCTATTTATTGCACAATCGGTTCCTGCTGAGTTGGTTTGCTCATTGCCAGAGATCCCTCCCTGTTGCTTACCTTTTCTGGCCGGCCGGCCATCTGATCTTGACTAGCATTGTGCGAAGACAACTAGCTGTTGATGAAGGTCTGTAGTGTGTTTGAGGTGCTCTTTATGACGCGCTGGTCAAGTCTCTGATCCGTATGGCAAGTAGCACTGACTGTCTTCACATTGGAGTTGAAGATCCGGATCTTATTTCCATTTGCATGCTGAGTGTTGTTGATCTCCTCTACATAGAGTTGAGAGTAATGAAAGCTTGTCTTGCTTTCGCGATCCTCGCTGCTTCGATATCCTCGTCAGTTCCTCCCGCCTGTATTTGAAACAATGCTTCCCAGTTCGGTAGGTAGGTAGGTAGGTGGGTAGGTAGGTAGGTAGGTGGGTAGGTCGGTAGATAAAGGAGGTTTTTTTCACATTTCTCCTATTTATGCTGGCTGACTATTGTGTTTTGTTGTTGTTGTGGCTATTTTTGTTGCTGCTAGCCAGGAATCTTCATCACCACAGCTGTTTTCTCTATGTTCACGTGAAGTCCTATCTTCTGTGAATGCTTCTTCTGCCAACTCGTTGCTTTTCCCTTGCATATCTTCCAGTTTGTGGGAAATCAGACATATGTCATCGGCGAAATGCAGACGCCGATCCTGCAAGTTTTTTGTGTGAATCCATTTTATGCCTGATTCCTCATTGCCCGTTGTCTGTCGGATTATCCAGTCTAGCGAAATCAGGAAAATCATTAGCGATATTAGGCAGCCAGCCTTGTCTTACTCCCGTTTTCACTTTGAAGGATTCTCTGAGTTTGCCGTTGTGGATTACTTGGCATTGTTGTATAGCTGTTGGATGAAATATATAATTGTCGACGGCACGCCTTGGTAGTAGCGGAGTAGTTGCCAATTTTATTTCAATTATAGTCTACTATTTCCGAGAGTATCATGCCAAGTACAAAAAGCTGTCGTAAACCAACTATGTTAAAGCTGAATAGTATTATTAATCTGACAGGAGCACCAGTGTTAAATCATAAGACCTGACTTTAGTCACTTTTCGGAGACTTTTCAACTGGATGCATTCATAACTCACTTCCTGGTGTTTTAATCAGTATTTGGATGTAGTAAGCATAATTTTGAACGTCACAAACGTGATTTACTCAGAGACTAGATCACGAAGAGCTGAATTTTAAAGTAGAAAGGTTTCTAAGAGTAATTTAAACTAGGTCTTTCATTGAATATATACTAATTATTTAAAATAACTTTATTTTTATTTTTTACCATTTTACACTTTATTTTCATTTAGAGTTCTTGGGATTCGTCAACTTTAGGCTTTTGGTTCACGGAATTAGTTGAACGGAATACACAGTTCAGTAATTGGCTAGAAAATGGTCGACCAGTTTGTTTCTGGATGACAGGATTCTTTAATCCTCAGGGATTCTTAACCGCTATGCGTCAAGAGATCAGTCGTATGCATGAAGGTTGGTCGCTGGACAGTGTTGTATTAGCCAGTAAAATGACACGATCGAATGCAGAAGACTTGAAAGAACCACCTCCGGAAGGCGGTGTCTATGTTTATGGTTTGTACTTGGAAGGTGCAGCCTGGGATAGGCGGACATCACGTCTAGTCGAGGCGAAATCGAAAATTCTTTATGATCCAATGTCTGTTATTAATATTTTCGCTGTACAAGAGACTACTGCGCCCAAACGTCAAGGTGGTGGTGGTGGTGGCGGTGGCGGTGAAGCCAAAGGGGATATGCCGAAACAAGTTTATTCATGCCCTATTTACCGTAAACCACGACGTACTGATTTAACCTACGTCGCCAGTGTGGATTTAGGCTGTACAAAGACATCAGATCATTGGGTTCTTAGAGGTGTTGCAATTCTATGCGATATTAAGTAATGCCAGTTATTGTATCTCAATGAAATTACCCTTTTTTCCCTTCATAAGGAGAATTTGACACAAACAGCCTTACTTTCACAGCAATGTATTTAGTTGCCTTCAGTCTGTAAGCGAAGATTCCCCCCTCACCTTCTACTAACACTTTCTGCACAGAATCATATTTCACATAAATAAACAGTGTATCTGTAAGTACACACACGAAAGGAAAAATTGACTATTTTAAATTAAAAGAATTCAATTATTCTAAATTGAGCCGTCGTTTTGTTTGTTTTTTTGTTACTGCTGCACCCAGGTGAAGGTGGTGCGTGGAGGGTGGGGGGGGGGAATGGCTCTCGCTCATTTGTTATTTAGAAAAAAGTGAAGACAGTTCTGCGTTTATTTGCAAATTCTTTTGTAGAAATTGCCTTACTGAATGTATATCCTCTATAGTGAGGTCCAATCAGATGTCACGAGTGTGGATGGATGTCCCACCAACGACAATGGTTGGGGTTGCGCTAAATCACTAGCGAGTATCAGATTAATTTTCTATAGTTTGGTTTGTAAGGGGTCGCGCTAAATCACGAATTGGTAAAAGTTAGAATTCATAGGCTGGCCTCTGAATCGGGTCCCAGTGGCTGAATGGTATACGAGCCAGCTAGCTGGTCTTGTAACCGGAAACCCCTGGGTTCGGACCGTCTGTGGTGATGCCGATGATTCCAAACTAGGCTGTTGAAACAGCTGGCTGTCCAGTACTCCCTGTGGCTGGTTTTTTTAATGGTTCTCTAACTGATATCAATCAATCCGCGATCAACCCCATAAAAGAATGAATATCCATTGTGAAATTTACCTGTGAATTCCGAACTACTTGCGTCCATTCAGTAGTAATATTCCTACTACTTCATTTTATAAAAGTTAATGACCGTACTATATAATAAAATAAAAGGTGGGGACTGATAAGAGCTTAATCGTTCTGTATTGTGTAGCCTTAATATAACTGTAAGGGCTACGATGGTGAGTTGCCGGTAGAGATAAAATTACATCGTTTTTGGCTTATGGTGACCAGTGATAGTGTGACTGAAAAGAGTAACCGACGTGATCTTTGTTATACCTCGTCAAATCCCTTATGCGACTAGCTGTTTTCGACACAGAACTTTGCACATATGTGCGGCAGTTCAAAGGACAAAAGAATAGTAATAACAAACGAAGAACAATGCAGTTTCATTGGAAACCATAAGTCACAAGGAGTGGATGCATCTGCGCCAGCCAGCCATTGAGAAAGATTTTGAGCCATATCATCAATTGTCTCCAGCCTTCGTTGGTGTTTACCGTCCCGAGGACCCCAACCAGTGAGTCAAGAAGTCTACACCTTCTTACGTGGCTGTCTGGCTGGCTTAAACTAACTGTTGTGGAATTCATTGACTGATGAGGCCATGTTTTCGTCTGACCGCTACCAGCTCTTTTCCAACCTGACCCTATATCAGCTAACATTGCCCGTTGAGGAAGGCGATGACCAGGCATACGTAACACATGTCCTAACCATTTATCTCAGTCGATGTAATTTCACAGCCTCATCGATTGATTTCCCCTCCTTACCTAGAACTCGACGCCTAACCTCAATACTGCTCACCTTATTATACCACCAACTAACACGGGAGATAGAGCGCAGGCACCTATGATCCAAGACAGCTAATCTTTTCATGTCTTCGACTGTCAATGGCCAGGTCTCACAGCCAGCCATAAAGGAGGGTGGAGCGGAGTGGTGAGCAGTACACCCACCATTTGGTCGACAGCCAGTCAGCCGGATATCATGTCTACTAAGCTAGAGACGGCGTAAACTGGCATATGCGAAACTAGCCCTCTGTATCCGTACTCAGCTGAGACTTCGTCAGAGATCAACCCGTTGGCACTGGCTGATGGTACTTCCCGAATAAGTGAAGCGGTCAACACGTTCCACCAACCACTTCACTCCCTATTGCTTAACTAGGAGTCAGTTTAGTTCAGTCAGTCGTGTAACATCATCTTACATTTGACAGCGGGAGCGAATCGCTCGCATGCCAAACATTCGTAGATTGCAGCTCAAGGTGTTCAGAAGACTCTGCTGTATTTTGTCAGCGTCCTCGCCTAGAAGGACAATATTGTCTGCATATTCTAAGTCAACGAGATTATTCCCTGGCAGGTGGCAGGTCAGTCCTGAGTCTCTGAAGTGAGTTAGGGTTAAGTCTATTAGTACATCTATGATGAAATTGAATAGAAATGGGGATAATGGGAATCCCTGACGGACACCACTAGTCGTCACCAGTTCAGATGACAATTTGCCGTAAGCGCTCACCTGGCTGACTGCATGAATTCGAGTGGAGTGAGTACCTTGATCAGTGCAATGTATTTTCTCGACATTCCCTTTTATAGCCAAGCATCGCCAGAGTACCTCTCGGTCGACAGAATCGAATACCGCCTTTAGGTCAAGAAATATAATGACTGTTGGACGCCGGTAAGAATGCCTATGTTCTAGAATCTGTCGACTAGCTTTTAGAGGCAGAAATCACTCTTTTGACTATAAAAAGGTTATCGGAGTGGTAGTCAGTTTTGATTTAAACAGTGGTGTGTCTTTGGTGTTAGTTAAACAAAAAAGGCTATAAGCGTAGAATTTCATCTATGCATAAGTATATGAGTTATTTCAGCTTTGACAAGATCCACCTTACTAAAAAGCGAATCGAAGTGTCTCTATTAATTATGCGGCCATTATATGGCCAGAAGAAGACCTCTCCTTTGAAAGAGTAGTTGTATCACCACCTAAAGATGACAGTACCGAAGCCTGCTAATGTCGATGGACCAGAAAAGTTCCCATTCATCATAATACGTCAGTTCTTCATATATATATATATATATATATATATATATATATATCATATACTGTAGGCCTTGTGAGAACAGGAACTATTTTCCAACTAAGACGCTGAGAATTCTTGTGGTATGCGTTAACATATTGTGTGAAATAAAGTTCTGCTGTAACAACAGAGGACAAGGGCCAGCAACAGATCGTTTTATTACGGAAATCAACACGTATTTGTATAAATTTCACATACATTATTATAGCCTAGTCAAGTAGACAAACGCAGTCTTCTGATTGGTTGTTTTCGAGTTTCTCGGAAAGTGGAGCCATCTATCTGCGAGTCATATTTGCCCACATTTAAGTTTGCCGTGATTGGTTGTTGAAATAGCCTTGTTCATATTTTCTCAAAGCCCATATTAGTGACCTAGACATTGACGTAGATTAATGTCTACCAATCTTCTGGTGGCCGATCACCCCCAACTATCTAATATCATCAAATCAATATGCACCGTGATGGAGAGCTACCTAGTGGAATGGTGGCCACATTGGAAACCTGACTGACATAGAATTCAGTCTTTACCAAAGAAAGGACTAGACACGTCATATCATTTACTAGTGTCCAATCAAACTACCCACTACAGTCCTACAGGAGGTCAATCGTGAGCCCAAATAGCTTAGTGGTAACGTCTCTGACTGCAGTACTGCGTGACGCGGGTTCGAATCTCAGAAGGACATGAGCTGTTCCTTGAGGGTAGTTTCAGATACGCCTTGCCGACTGGTGAGCGACAACTAGCACGAAACCTAGGTGGAAAGCCTCCTGTGGCTGACTGCCTCCAACTATCTAATATCAGTCACTATATGTATATAGAATAATTAAACAAGGATCGGGGCAGAGTTCAGATTTATCTTGGAGACAAGGATCGACTAGAGGTGAAAGAGAAGATAGAAAAATATATTGAATTTATGCATATTATGATGTAGAATTCGAGAGGGTGAGAGTGAATAGTAAAGTAAAATTATGACACAGACAAACAGTCAAGTAAATACAGAAAATTAATAAGGAGTTCAACTCGGTAAATGAAAATCAAAGTCTTAGTGAAATGTTACGTACGCAACAGAACAAAACAATTATCGTTACCAATATAGTGAATGATTAGTACGCTTTCTTTCAGTATATGAAGGTTGCGTCGAAGTCTTTTGATACCAATGGTTTTTGAGATCTGAAGTAACCATGGCGATATTATATCACAACATACAGACAAACACAAACATCAATTCGACTGGGACAACCAACCAACGTTCAAATATTAGACAGAAGAAACAACACACAGAATGCTAGAGAATTTTTAGAGGCCTATCTGGTATTCCAGTGAGTCATTAATCAATAGACGCATCGAGACTGACAAAATTTATCAACCGATAAGAAAGAAACCTCACACACAAAGGGTCAAAGTTCAAGTCGAAGAAGCAATCAGTTCCAATACAAGTAGGCTAGAGGGAGTGAAAACACTCGGAAACAACCAATCACGTCGAAGGTGACCGACCAGGAGAGATGATTAATAAACTCATGGAGAAATCTAAAAGCTCACTTGAATTGAAATTGAAGTATGCGCTAAAGATGTCACCTAGTAGTTCACATCCAGTTGACTAGTCCCAAATGGTTCGAAACGCGCGTTATCCTGGATCCAACTGCTAGTCACCATCCACCAAATGAGATTGTCGGAACGATAACATAAGGATCTCTATTTTGCATTATGCCAAAAACTAGATTTCATTTCTGACAAAGATGTTCCACCCCACCCTCCGCACAGAAACACACCGCCAGTTCATCAAGTAAACCTAGTTTGATAAATCGGCCATCTTGAAAAATGATGCGACAAGTTGTCTTAAAACATAACTTACTAGTAAGAAAAGTCTACGAACGGAATGCACACTACCTAACCTAAGGCGTTTACAGTTGATAAGGGATCAACAGTCCAGTACACTTCCTATAATCAGTGGGAGCAACGAAGTCGGCGACAACAGCAACAACAACAAAAGGAAACTATTTAATTGGTGGATGACGACTAGCAGTGGAACCCAAGATAACGCGCATTTCGTCCTATTTGGGACTCGTCTGCCAACTGGATGTACCTGCATTTCTCAGTGAGTAATGATTTCCCAACCGAGGCTCGAACCCAGTGCCTATAGT